TTTCAGCATTAGATATAGAGAGAAGTGCTATGAATTGTTACCTTTTTTTCATCGCTAAAAACTCAACTTAAATGACATTTTTTGGCAATTCTTTCACTCATTGCCGATCCATACAAATAAAAGCACAATTGCTCTCAACTTCTCTTCTCAACACTTATTCGTATGAATGGTTTGACGAAAAAAGTGCAAAATCTGAACGTATGGCTCCCTTTTGGATATTAAAATAGGAACTTATCTCGATTTACATGAAATAATCATTAAAGGACTGACATTTCAATACAAGTGTGGGGTCTCTCTCTTGAGTCCCAAACGCTAAACCTATTCATTATGACAATGGCTTTCACTTCTGTTAACTATTTTTATTTAAACTTTCAAAATAATACTTTTGATTATTATTCAAACAATTTATTTCATTTAAGATTCATTTAAGAAAAATTCTCTTTTTAAAAAATTCAATGACTATTATATGGGTTTCTGAAAACCTGATTGCATTTACGTTAAGTATTTATCAATTAAAACGATCCAAAACTTGATTTAAAACTTGTAATTACAACAAAATAAGTTATGTACATTTTTCATAAATTAAACAAATTATAGATTTTAAAGTTGTATATTGTTATATTGTTATTAATTTAACCCTTGAAGTGAATAAAACAAATATAGTGTAGAAAATGAACTGAAGTTAAAATAAAATGAGTTAATATTTGTTGTCATTTTGTTTAATACTAAAATAGAGATCATTTGAGTTGTTTTCATCACGATTTATATTGTAGTGAATGAGAGACAGTGTTTGCTGTAATACGGGTGCGATTTTTGTGTGCATTTAGTAAAATGACAATACTTTGCATTTGTTGATAATTGAAAAGGCTTTGCATTGCCTTTCAGATTGAAGTGAATGACAATTGAAGTTTGAAAAGTAGATTTGAAACTTGCGTTTAGAAATTTAATAAAAGTTGAATTCGCGTACAATAAATACATTGGCTTTTGAGCCCCCGGCCAAAGGAGCGATGCCTACCAGTCCTTCAGTTGTGTCTAAATTGCTAAATAAGCGAATGAATTGTTGAAGCATTTTGTGACCATTTTTCAACAAAATAAAGTGTTGGGAAAAATACTGTTCATTCAATATATGGTTTGATGTAAAACGAGAAAATGAGTCCAAAATTATATTATTTAAGGTTTTAAGAGTTGTCATAATTTAGTTTTCTTAATATTAAGCACTGAATTGAGATGAGAAAGAGGAGAGAGAGAGAGAGAGAGAGAGAGAGAGAGAGAGAGAGAGAGAGAGAGAGAGAGAGAGAGAGAGAGAGAGAGAGAGAGAGAG